ATAAACTAATCAGAATTAAAACTTACGTTAAGGCTTCTGAGTAATTATAATGAGGAGAGACTCCTAGAAACTTCTGTACTTCATCCATCACTGTAGCAGGATCAGTTCTTAGCTGTTGACCATCAATAATTAGCAGCTAAATTACCAAAGAAATAGAAAAAGACAATACACATTGAATAAAACCATGTTAACTGTATAATGAAAAATTTCTGCACTCTGAACTTAGTCAATAAGTGACATTCTCCTGAGGATCTGCCTGCCTTGTCGTTAGACATAAACACACCATCCTCATTAATGAGCTGGGACAAGAAGAAAATCATACTAATTAAGTATACTCATGACTTGTAATTTGAAAAGTCCTGTTAACTCCTTTTTGTTTGAAAACAAAAATGTCAGCTGAGGGGACCAAGAGACCTTCGACATGTGATGATGAAATCACAAGTGAAAACCAAGTTTAAAAACTAATAAAGCTAAGATTCCATCACTGAAGCTGGAAAGGAGCACAGTTATGGTTTTGATGTGTCTCCCCTAAATTTGTGTGATGGAATTTGACTGCATTGTGAAGGAATGAAGAAGTGACTAATGTGATGATGGGGCTGAAAGACTGGGCACCTGGAAAGTGATTAGGCATAAGGGTGGGGCCCCTGCCACTGAGTCCTGGTGGCTTTATAGGAATGAGACAGAGATACTTGGGCACAGACAAGCCTTGCTCCACTCAAGCTGCACCACGTGCTTCATTGGCAAGAAGACTCTCACCCTATGGAGCCCCTGGACCTTGACCTTCAACCTGAGCTCAATGGACCTTTATTTTTAAAAATTAGACTCAGGTAATTATGTTATTAGCAACATAATGAACTACTGGGTCTTAAGAAAAGTCATGACACATTTTTGCATAGAAAAACAGAAAAATACATCATGATTTTTCCAGTGACTCAACAGAACAAGTACTGTACAAAAGAAAGGTTATAATAAACCCAGGTGTAATTAGATAAATGGCATGACATTCTTCATAATTCCAAATCCAGGAGCAGCATTATAAAGCTAAGAAATACTTTAATAATCCATGTGGAGGAGAAGGTAAGACTGCCAGGGACCCTGAACATGGATAGAAATTCCTCTGGACACTAAGGAGAAAAAAATGTGTGTATGCGTGTGTGTGTGTGTGTGTGTGTTTGTTTACTTCGGTGAGGGTGGACCCAGTGAGATGACAAGAGACCACGGTGGAAGGCCACAAAGCCTGCAGTGCAACAGTTGGCCATCCCTCTCCTCTCATACTCTAGTTAGTCTAGACTAGCACCATTCACTAGAACTTTCTGAGGCAATGGACATGATCTACAGCTGCCATTTCTAAAATGCAGTGATGGAACATTTGCAATGTGGCTCATGTAACTGAGGAGCTGAATTTTGAATTTCATTTAATTTCAACATAAATTTAGATAACTACAAGTGGTAGGGACTATCATAGTGGATAGCACAGTGCTAGACATGCGGGCGCACGCCACATCTGACGTCACTGGGTTGCTTGCGTAATGCAATATAGGGGCGATTTTTGTCATTGAGATTGATGCCAGGCAGAAGGGAGAGGCAAGGAAGCCGAGAGAAACAGAACTTATGACAAATTCTGCAAGGTGGTTTAAAAGGAAAATAAAGGCACTTAATTAGGCAAAGCAATATTTGTCTTGCTTGGTTAAGAGGTTCTCTCTCAAACTTAATTTTTTTTAGAATAAGAATTTGAGAGATTTGAAACCTTTGATGCTCTTTACAATTAAGGAAAGTATGCTGGGCTAGCAAGCAGCATGGAGGTTAAGGAGCTGGATTCTCACATGGTTGACTTGGCTGTTCAAGTCCCAGACCCAGTGGCTTGAAAATCATGCGTGGAACATGTGCATAGGTGCCCAAAATCCCAAGAGAAGAATGGAGAAGAGGGGAATGTGGCATGGCCACCCCCTACCTCCAGGGGGGTGATTTCTCACTTTCTCTCTCTCTCTCTCTTGCTCTCACTCTCCCTCTCCCTCTCTCCCTCTCTGGTGAGCACACATACCCTATGGCAAAGACTAAAGAAAAAAAAAAAGATGTGCACTAGAAAATAGAGTAGAGAATTATCCTAAAATACTGTCAAAAAGAAAATTCAACAGTACTTCTGCTTATGCACTCTTCTTTGTCACAATCTCATTATTGGCAATTAAAGATTAAAAGTTAAACAGTAAGCTTTTGATGAGTAAAAACTTCCTCTATCCTGAGGCAAAGTTATCTACTTAATGAGACCAATATGATGTACGTTCTTATTGCTCCATACCTGAATGGGGGGGAAATAAACAAGCCATCTCTCGATGTGGCTGGCATACCACCCAGGGACCAAACATCTCTTCTGTAAGGCTCTGAGTTCAGAGGGTGCACGGGGCCCAGCTGAGATCACTTCATAGAAGCTAAACTTCAGAGCTGCAGGGTCTTCATGTGATCTCTGGTGCTATGATGAAAAGGTAGATAATTAAACTAACTTGGACCATAGGCATAAATAATTAAAAACTAATCTTTGGGACAAGTCTCAAAGCTCAAGGCAGGAGTACCTCACTGTTGGAGGGTTATTTGTTTCGGTATTAATAAAGGATGGAAATGTTTGCTTGAAACATCAGGATTTAAAGCTATAACACTGATGAGAGTACATTTTTGAGAACTTATTTAGGAGAGGCTGAATTCTTCCTGGTAGAATTTTTTTTTTTTTTTTTTTTTAACCAACTTTCCTGAGTTGTTTCCTTTGTGTATATTTTTTTTTTTTAAACTAGGTTTATTTAGGAGAGGCTGAATTCTTCCTGGTAGAATTTTTTTTTTTTTTTTTTTGTTAACCAACTTTCCTGAGTTGTTTCCTTAGTGTATATATTTTATTCTGAAACTAGGTATTTGAAAGTTGTATTAATGTCCCCTTTCAGCCCATAAACAAACCATTTATCATGTCCAGTGACTATCTGTAATACACTAGCTCACTACTATTTCTGTCAAACAGTTGTATTCTGTCTAGTAATGCAGTTTTAGATTAGAAAAGGCCTATTGGCTATTTTAAATGGAGAAACCACTGAAAACCATGACACGTACATTACCCGAAATTCACAGCTTTTATCATATATTATGTAGCATCTAAAAGCCAAGATTATTTTATCTAATGGTAACCTTTGTGGTGAATCAGAATCATTTATTGTGCAGAAAATGCAGAAAGCAGCAATCCAAATAGGAAAGTGTTTCATAATGACTCAGGCTCAGGCCCATGGGCTTAAGAAAATCACCTTTTTCCTTAAATTGACCAATAAATATTCAGGCTTTAGTGGCGAGTTTGTGGATGTTTGCCACATCTAGTTGAATAGCAAATTTGCTGCAATAGAGATTCAAATTATCGTACTATGCTCTACTAGATTTTGTTAAAGCCCACATTTTGCCACCATGGAGTGATTTATTTGCAATATTCAGGGCATTTGTGAGCTTACAGCCTTGAAACCTCCTTTCTCCGTAAATTCTCAATGTTTCAAGGACTAAGTGGTTGCCAAGCTCCAATTTTCTTCTTTCTCTTTGAGTCAATTAAGGTTTATTTCTCTTTTCTCCAGATACCTTATGGAAAAGGTAAAAGGTATAAAATCAAATCAGTCCATTTGCAATTTGCTATAGGGTTTGATTTTTTTTTTAAATGACTCTAGGTTTGGCATGAAAGATTAGTGTGGAAATGTGGATTCTCTGGGTCTTAGCTTTCCAGATGTCTCCACTTCCCACTAGACCGTCTATCTTTATGATCAACCTGCACCCTCTGCCCTTTTCCTATTCTATTCCTACTGCAAAGCCTTTCTGACCGTATCTTCTCCTTCTTGTGATCCTGGAAAAACACTTTTGTCAAACAGTGAAAGAATTCCTTGCTGAGAAACGCTACTGTCTAATTTCCTTATTGTCAAGGATTTAGCTATTTGAAATCCTATTAGAGAGAAAGGAACTTTGACTCATGCACAGAAGGCCTAAGCCATGTGGGGTCATCTTTACACAGAGAAGGGCCTTATTCCCAACCCATTCGCAGAGTTCCAGATAAGCAGTTTTTGTATACGCAACATTCCACATTTGCCTTAATTTTCTAGTTAAAGAAATAGAACCAAGGAAATAGTACAGTTAGTCTGCTTTTGAGACTCCACCTGTTGTAACCCAGTTACACATAGCTCCGCTTTTCACCTGTTGAAACCCTCTTTCACTTTAATTTTACCTAAATTTTTCCCCTTATAAGTCCTTCCCTTTTTGAGGGGTTCTGGGGGCTTGTCCAGTGGTTCTTCTGGTGTTTGGGCTCCTTTGCTGCACTCAGTTAATAAATCTAACTTATACCAGTTGGTCTTTATCAGGTGAGCTTTGTCACACTAAACTAGTCTGTCACTTAATACTTTCTCATTTATATGCTTATTTCTATATGTCTCCAAATAGACTGAAAGTCTCAAGTGTAGCACCCACATTTATTAATTTATCTTCAAATCACACTTAGAATGACGCTCTGCCCATGGCTGACATTAAACCTATTGACCAATGGATGAACATATAAACATTAGGAAAGCCTTTTTTAATTACAAAACTGAGGAGGGATAACTAAGGGTCCTAGAGATTAAAGACACTGACCCTATTAATTTTGTTATGTTCTTATGCTTAATTATGTCTGCTTTTTATTAAGCCTTTCCAGTCAGTGATTAAAATATCACTAGAATAGTTTTTTTCTATTATTTATTAAGATAAACAAGTATTTAATACATATTATTAATAGAGTCTGTTAAATTATTTCAAAGTGATCACTTCTGTGCTAGGTTCTAACCAATATCAGAAACATAGTGGCAATAACCACATGAAAAAGAGGCTTGCAACCGTTTAGACAGGCTGAGCTTTCAGGGATGAGGAATTCTGCTATCTGCTTTGCCACCACATTGTCTCTTCAGCACTAGCAGTTATTTTAGCTCTTTGAGAGTGAAGGGTGTCAATCTATGGTCTAACAATTGTTTTTGCAAATAAAGTTTTATTATAACACAACCATTCTCATTCATATGCATATTGTCTGTGTCTGCTTTCCAAATAGACAGCGATGCAACAGAGGTTGTATAAGCTGCAAAGTCTGAAATGTTTGCTAACTGGCCCTTTTCAGAATACACTTGTGTTAGATGGAAACTAACCACTTAAAATGATCATAACATTTACTTTAAAATGCAGCTGTACAGAAGCACACGCACACACACACACTCACACACACAATATTTTATGTTTTAATTAAATATTTTAATAGTATTAATACATATTATTAAATAAATGATCAGATTAACAAAATAGGGGCCAGCCTTATAGCCTAGTGGTTCAGGGTGCTGGAACCCACATGGCCAATAGTGACTTGAACCCCAGCCCCAGGAGCATGAAAAACATGCCAGGTATGTGTGTACATGTGCCCCAAATCCTAACAAGATGGAGGAATGGAGGGGAAGGGATTGCAGTGAGATCACACCCCATTAGGGAATGCTTTTTCTCCTCTTTCTGTTTCTCTGACTCTCTATGGTAAGCACATGTGCTTTCTGTCAGTTAAAAAATTAATAAATATGAATAGACAGTTAAGAAAGTTTCTCCACAGAAATGAAGAAAAATGTATCCACTTCTCTGCAGATATCAAACAAGTAGCAAACCTCTTGTGCTTAAACTCGAGATGGTGGCTATTGCTGAAACATTGTCCATCGTCCATACTCCCTCCCCATCTTTGGATTCTGTCTGTATTTACTTACCTGGTACCAGGAGTATGCACGGTCAGATGGGTCAATAAGAATGGTGATAATCTTGGCTTTGGGGACCAGAGAAGCTGCTCTCTTTGGAGCTTCCTCTGAGTGGAAGTAATTGGCACTCTTCTCAAACAGAAAGTCAGTGGTGATATTAGATGGAACTGGGAAGAAATCCATATACCTAGGAAAGGAATATTTTTCTCAAAATAAGATTCTGGTTTATACCCATAGTCTGGTGACTGAAGACAGTAAAGGTGTCTTACAAATTCATTAGTTTCCTAATCAAAGGATATTTCTTTAAGGCATTTGTCTTACATAGTTAGGAACGAGAAAAAATATATCCAGGAAACTATTAATACATTTTGAAAATATTTTTCTAAATATATTTTGTTTTGCTTAAATCAAGAACAAAGGTCTGAGAGTTAACAAAAATGTAAACACATAGCAATCAAACTGCAATACTAATCAATCTAACTGTACATCTGAAGGCAGAAATACTATATAGAGAAAAATGTAAGTACTCAAAGTTTGATCAAAATAGATAATCTGTTCATTTTGAAGGCTTTCTTTCTAGAGGTTTTTGCCTTAGGGTGTGTGTGCTTGCTGGAGGGGGAGAGAGAGAGAGACAGACACGTTGAAAGGGAAAGTGAGAAATCATGTCCCCCAGGGTTGGTGACCACACCTCAATCCCTTCTCCTCCATTCCTCTCAGGATATTGGGCACACGTGCACATGTGCCTGGGTGATTTTTGAGCCACCAAGTCTGGGACTCAAACCATAGTTGGTCATGTGGGAGTCTAGTGACCATACGTGCTATACCATCTGCTGGTCCCAGTTTGAAGACATTTTAAAAGTACTTAGGCAAAATGTTTTTTAGTTTATGCAAGTAAGATAATTTAATTCCCATTAACGTGTTGTGCTGATGTTAGATTTAACCATATACTATCAACTGCAGGCCAAGTCTGGTATAAACAAGGCCTGTTAGTGTAATTTTTTCATATATGGCTATTTATGCCCTTCTTTAGTTATAAGAAAAATTTCAAAAGTAAGCACATATTTCCAAATATAAAATCCTATCAAATTTCCCATGGTCAGGTCCTATTTTCTTTAAGTGTGGTAAGAATTCACATCTCAAACAGAGTACACACTGTCTAGGCTTAAGCACCAAATTGTAAAAGTTTGTTTAATGTTCCAGCTATGAAAAGGTTGTGAAAAATAACTAATTCAGAATATGATAGTAGATTGTAGATATTTCTGAGGCACTAAAGGATACCTTTTCGAGGAAAAGGGCTTTTTTAGAGATCATAACAATTTAACTTTTCAGAGGCTGACCTCATGGCCTAGTGGTTAGGGGAGCTAGTTTCCACATGGCAGTCCTCACAGTTCAAATTCTGGTCTGGTGCTTGAGAAACATGCCAGTTGTGCATGTCCTAAATCCTGACAGGGTGGAGAATAGGAGGAGAAGGGATTGTGGTGTGATCATGTCCCATTAGGGGTGCTTTCTTCCTTTATCTCCTTATCTGTCTCTGGTTACCACATGAACGCTCTGGCAAATTAATTTTTTTTAACTATTAGGAATTCTTATATTTTATAATGATAGCTTTAACTTTTACTACCACTCCCTTCAATTTATAAGTCACTATGACTTTAGGCTATCAAACAAGGTAATTCAATAATTACTAAACAAGTGAGTCATTAACATTCACGCAATGACTTTTTACAGTGTGTCTTTTGACTGAAGGAAAGATCACAGACTTTTGCCTGTAAACTTATGTCATCTCATGTGACAAAGCTTCTGGTAGGATTCCAGTTCATGCATTGCAGAATTTAGCTGTGCAACAAAGTAGTGTTTTGAGACTCAGAGCAGTAATGAAATCATTTTGTTTTCTGGGTATTGCCCTGTTGGTGGGTGATATGTCACCTGGCATTCTGTAAAAGGGAAAAAGACATGTGAAAGTTTCTGGAAAGTTTGATTTGCTATCTGTTCTGGGGTGCATTTGATTTAGAGAAGTGCCAAATTTCAGGATACTTCTTATTTAGAAACTCACACTGGTTCAGTTTGCTAAAGTGATTCTGAGTGTCCTGTGGTCCGAGTTTATCTCAACCTTTCTTATTCTGAGAAAGGCTCCTAAATCACATACATACACACAAAGGTAGAGGTGTTAAAATTAGAGAACCATTAGCTTCTAAAAACTGTTCTACCTTCCTGTTTTTTGTTTATTTTTTTAATACCTAGAACAGTTAAGGTTTTGAAAACCTGCTCAAGTAGTTCTGGCTCTTGGTCCTGTAATGTGTCAATTTTGCCTGGCTCCAGAGCCTCATGGAGAAGGTAGGTTCTGGTGTTTGTTGTGTCTACATGTCCTCATTTTTCTTGTATAGTGGCTGGCATGTATAGGCATTTGAAAAATGTTGGATGAATAAACAAGTAAATATAAGGAATTCAACTTCATCATTCCTGGGTTGGACCTGGAAGCTGGGCTCACATTTGGAAAATATGAACTCAGGTTATCCAAAGAATTAGCGGATGGACAAGAGTGGATTGGCATTTTGGGGATTGATGGGACCAGCAGTTAGCATAATGGCTATGTTGCTGAACTCCCATGTAGTTTACCGTGGTTCGAGTCCCAGACCCCGTGGCTTAAACTCACCCTGGGTGTGTGTGTGTGTGCCCAAGATCCTGAGAGGAGAATGGAGGAGAAGGGATTGCGGTGTGGCCATCTCCCCGGGGGGTGATTTCTAGCTTTCTGTCTCTCTGTCTCTGTCTGTCTGGTGAACGCACGCCCACTATAGCAAAATCCTCTCCAAAAGAAAAAGAAAAAGAAAAAGAAAGAAAGTGAATGATTGCTTTCCTTAGGCTTTGCTAGTTCCAAAAAAAAATTTTTTTTAACCTGAAAGATGTGATTTTTTGCAATATTCCACATTTATTTCTTATTTGCGTTGACCCTGAATATTTCTAATTGACTTTACTCAAAGCCAGATTAAGACATTTAGAGGATCTCAGTGCTAAAAACATTCTAGGGCTACTCCAACCCTCCAGTACTACATCCTCATGTAAGTAAAAATAAGAATACCAAGTAAAACCAAAAAATCTTATATGGGTGCTGAATCTTTTTCTTTCTTAGATTTTCTGATTGTGGATTTTGACTGCTGTGTAAAAGTTGAAGCTTTCTAATTTCATTTCCAATGAGGCAGTTCTGGTTTTATCTATTTCTCTCTAAAAAAAAAGACCTACGGATTCAGATTAACTAATGGTGCCTGGGATAATTATTTTAAGTGACCCTGGAACTCTGAGATGCACAGTTGTCAACCTTGTGGCTGCACCATGGTTCCAAAGGGATGGTTAAGGGCTGATGTCTCCCAGGGATGGTAGGCCAGTCGGTGGCCACATCTGACGCTGAGCGCAAAGCTATTGTTACAGCTGGAGTTGACACCTGCAGTTACTATTATTTATTTGCATTAATTGCCTTTTATAAACATATAACTTGTCTATCAAAAGTGTGTTGGGGTTATTTTTAGTGTGCTATTATTAAAATCTTTTGTTGCTCTTTGGTTTTCTACATGCTTATGTCATTTCCTTGTAATTGTTTAAGGGACTTTTTGTTCCTACTACAGTGCCTAGACACATTAGTGGCTTATGACTAAACCATATTTTTTGGTAAAATTTGTAACAAAAACTTATGATCCCACAATTATTCTTTAGTCTCAGAGGCCTATAACAGGTATTGCATTCTCCTCACCAAAGCAATTTTATTTGTTGGCTTGTTTTAGTTTGCTACAGGGTGCATGCATTTGTCAGGGAGAGGGAGGGAATGAGAGAGACCCGTGAGAGGGAAAGTGAGAAATCACCCCCAAGGGGAATGGCCGTGCTGCAATCCCTTCTTTCATTCTCTAGGTATTTTGGGCACTCAGCACACGCACCTGGTGTAATTTTCAGTCCTGGACTGGAACTGTGCAGTTGACCATGGGATCCAGCTGCCTTAACTACTACTCCACCTGTTGGGCACCCCCAAAGCAGTTTTTTTTTTTTAATTATTGTTTTAGGGAGATTTTTGCTCTAGGGTGCATGTGCTCACTGGAGAGACAGAAACAGATAGAGAGATGGAAAGTGAAAAATCACCTCCTGGGGGGATGGCCATGCCGCAATCCCTTCTCTTCCATCCTCCTCTTGGGATCTTGGGCATGCGTACACACACATGAGCATGCGCCTGGTGTGAGTTGTTTTTTTTTTTTTTTAAGAATTATTTTAACTTTATTTATTTATTTTAATTTGACCAGAGAGGGACAGAGTAAGAAAGAGAAGGAAAGTAAGAAATCAAGTCACCAGGTCCAGGACTTGAACCACAGTTGGCCATGTGAGAGTCCAGTGCCCTTTACCCCACACCACCTGCCGGCCCCCTGGTGTGAGTTTAAGCCTCTGGGTCCAGGACCTGAACCGTGATCACCTACATGGGAGTCCAGCGACATAACCACTATGCTATCTGTTGGTCCCATCTCAAAGCAGTTTTTAATCACTTCTTTTAGTCATGATTTTAGCATCATTTTATTCTACTAAATACCAGCATTTGTATATATGCTGCTATACATATATATAATATGTTTAATTTTTAAGAGTCAGTGGCCAAATAGCAGTTAAAGTAGTTGATGGTTTCTTGTTTCTCTGAGGTGTTATTTAATACAATTAATCAATATCCAACACAGTTCAGAAGAATTGGCAGTGAAAGAGATAACAATTAGATATACATAAGTCCTAGCAGATGCTGAAATTATACTCAATCTATTTCTTTATTTTTCCTTTTGGATTACTCACGAGCAACTTCTGAGAGGGTTAATATTGACAAAATTGAGATTATACAATTTGACAGCAGAGGTTAATATTTGACTCTTTATGTAAAAATACATGTAAAATATTTATGTTATGGACTTATTATAAAAATTCCACATTTATACCATTCTCTGTCCAGCCTTACACCCTCATAGCAAGATCTCTAAATGCATTTTATAACTAACACGGTAGTTTGTATATCTATTTCTACTACATTACTTACTTTTTTGTATATTTGATATTTTTATTTTTGATTTTAACTATTTTCTCAGATAGTGGATACATTTCTAATTTAAATTAAAAGGCAAAAGATAAGTTTTTTTTTTACATTGTTGATAGCTTTTTTAGCTTTAATTACTTATAATAGAACTTTCTAGTTCTATCAATTTTTTTTTACCTTTTATACTAAAGTGAAATAGAATATTATGTATGTATGTGGATTGTAGCAGCACTTAATGAAAAATACATAGAAAGAGAAAGATATGGAAGTATTTTCTTATAAATAGAAAGGAATAAAATTCCTGAATATTACGCTATTTCGCTGACGATATTTCTGCAATTACCATCAGAGATCGTTAATGGCAACTGAAATACCTGTGGGCCTCTTGAGGCAGCAAGTCTCTTCATAAACTGAGAAGGGTTTGCGTTCCTTTAAGTCATCCTGTCATTTCCAAGTCTTAGAGAATAGCGTTTTTGTTTCGTTTTGTTTTTGCCATAGGGTGCGTGTGTTCACAGGAGAGAGGCAAACGAAGAAATCATCCCCCAGGGGGGATGGCCACCCCACAATCCTTTCTCTTCCATTCACCTCTCAGGATTTTGGGCGTGTTTGTGCACATATGCATGCATGCACACATGCCCGCAGGCACGCATGCCCGCACCCGGCTTGGTATTTCCAACTGTCAGGTCTGGGACCCAAACCACAGTCACCCATGTAGGAATCCAGCACCTTAACCACCATGCCACCAGTGGCTACAGACTCATATGTTTCTAAATATTAGCACTAACTTTATGCTGTGCACAGTACATATACTTTTAGATTTATACTAATAACCCATCTTACCAATCAATCCCCCTGTGGTAGTTATTTCTATTAAAGAACTGTACCTCCTCAAAGGTTTTTGGGCTGGGGGAGTTACTAAGGATGGAAGGATGCATAACCAGGAACAAATACAAAGCAGTGGTACCTGGAAAACAACAGAGGTTTAGAAATTAATACAATGAAAACATAGTTCCTGCTATTAACATTTCAAAGTTATTAGTAAGTTAAATGTTACAGCCATCCAGACAGACTGATTAAAAGTGCTCCTTGAAGGAAACTGGATAAACAGCATGTTGAAAGAAGCAGATGCAAAAAATGGAGGGAGTATGGTCTGAGTTAAAGAGGCCTGTTGCAGGCGTTGGGAGAACTAGCTTTTGATCCCCGCTCAGTCACAGATTTGTCTGTGGCGTTGACTCTTTTAGCTTCTCTTCGTCTCAGTTTTTTTCAATGGAAAACCATCTACCTTATTTATTTCATAGGTTTTCTGAGGATGAAAAGACATAATGCACCTAATGTATTTTGATATTAATAAAGCACCACATATAAATAAAATACTTAAGGTTATCAGAATTGATACTTGGGTTCCCTTGCGAAATTCTTCTTGAGGACTATGAAAGCTAATTAAAACTTAATCTTTCAACAAGTTTGTTTGCATTTAGATGTACTTACATATATTGAATAGTACTTAGAAAAAGTAGTGGCAACAATTGTTTAAATTACTAAATTTGTAAATAAATAATGGTGCTCCGACAAAAATTGCATTTTATTGGCAAGAGAATGGCCTATCACAGGTACTCATATGTTGGGTTATTGGGAAAGTCATGACACATTTTTGCATAGAAAAACAGGGAAAAATATGTTATGACTTTTCTGATGACCCAATATTTTGACACTGGGGAGAAAGGGTGTGAGGTTTTTTGTTTGTTTGTTTGTTTTTTCAGTGAGCAATGTCTTAAATTGTAAAATTAGTATTTTGTAAGCCTAAATCTGGAGGTAAAGAGAGAAACTTAGCTGTACTGTTACAATAGACAGTAAGGCCGTTGGGTTTCAGTTGTCAAAGATTTCACCATATACTTGCAACTGGGACTGTGTTCATAAGATAATATTAAAATGTGTCTAATCCATGTATTCAGTGGTTCTAAGAGAGAAACACACCCTCTAGTCTCTACTTCTTCACTCCAATGTGAATTATGTTATTAAACATTGCTATCTGATGGAGCAGGACCCACCAATTGTAATCCAGTCAATAGCTAGCAGTAGGCATCAGATATCTTGTAATATTTCTTTTGCATTGAATAAATTGCTCTTCTAATTCTGCTTAGTAATAATGTCATATTGTCATGGATACAAAATTTTGAATCTTCTTATCTCTATAAATTTTCTTTAGTATTGTACTTAAATCTACCGTATCTATATATTATAATAGAAAGATGGTTAAAATGACTCAGCCAACAGCACTATTGTTTAAGAAATTGCATCGAAAGGGACAGTGCTCTGAGATTGTATCTGAGCCAAACAATGAATACTCTGTCTAGTATAATTCTCATTGACTGTAGGTAACCATAGTAATCTATGATATGCCAAGTAAAAATGTTCTTCACAAGCTTCACCTAAAACAGAGATCCTCAAACTTTATCATGCATCTGATTAACCTGGAGAGCTTATTAAAACATGGAGAACTGGGCCCCATCTCCTGGGGCCAGCAAGGTCTGTGGTGATGTTTATGCTGGGTAGTTAAACAACGTAAGATTCACTGACTTAGAAGCAATGTGAAATGATTCCCAAAACTTAATTGGGGGAAAAAAATACTCCATTCCTTGATATCCACAGTAGAGTAAAAAAGAGCATGTTCTTTGAAGTCAGGTAAATTCTAGGGTCAAGAGTTTTATTTCTAGTACTTATTGGATGAGTGAATTATATAACCTCTCTGAGTCTTAGATTTCTCATCTGTGTAATAGGGAACAAATACTCACCTTATTAGGGTTTTATGAAGGTCAAGTGAGATAACCTATGCGTAGTACCTAAACAGTGACATATCCGAAATTTTAAAAAATACCTTTTATTGACATAAATGGATATTGTGTTAGTGTGTTCTAGATGAAATGTGTAAGTTAGTTATATTGTTTATTTTTTTTAGCAGTAGACATTAGACAACCTGAAGGTATACATTAGAATATTTTAAGGTTATTTTTTGGGGTCAGCAGGTGGTGTGGTGGTTGAGGGTGCTGGACTCCCACATGGCCAACTGTGGTTCAAGTCTTGGACCTGGCAGTTTGCTTTCTCACTTTCTCTCTCACTCTGTCCCTCACTAGTCAAATTATAATAAATAAAGATAAACAAAAATGTTTCTTTTAAAACATATTTTAAGATATTTTGAATAATCCCTTTGTTGAGCTATAACTCAGAATTATAATAAACAAATACTAATTACCATTCAGAAAAAATACGTTTTTTTTTAAACCTGAAAAGAAATCTTTTGGAGGATAAGATGTACGATATTAAAACATGAAAAAGATTAATTCCTTTCTTAAATCAATGGGCAATATTCTTTTCTAACTTTGATTTTTAGGAGTTGTATTAAATCATGTTGCTTGCTTTTAATAGCCTCTCATAAGTAGCATTAATTAAACAAACAGAAATGTTGGGTATAGTCTAATTCTTTGCACAGTCAGTGAAAGGTATAATGTAATTTACAGTAACTCTAGGTAACTATAATGATCAAAAAATTGTTGAAGTTTCTGAATTTTGTCTTTACTTATGTATATTCTTGGGTCTAAATAAACTATACTATATATATGTATATTTTGTGGGTGGTAAACTCAAGTTCATAATCACAGATACACACATTCAAATAACTATGCATAAAGCTTCAGTGTTTATATTTTTGTTAATTTCAACACTGAAACGTATCAGACTATCCAGATAATTAGAAATCTATGTAAACTTAGCCAGAAATTTTTTTTGACTAAACTAAAGTTAAAGACAAAGCTATTTCATTTTCATGACACTGATAGGATATTTTTATCTTAGTTTAAAAATTGGTTTCAGAAAATATTGATATGTGCAACATGGATGACTCTCAAAAGTATTATGCTAAATGAAAGAAGTCAAACGCAAAGGTCTACCCACTGTAGGCTCTGTTTACAGGAAATTCTAGAAAAGGCAAAACTGTAATGGCCCAAAGTGGTTGACGGTGGCTGGAGACGAGGTGCAGCTGGGGAGAACTGACTACCAGGGACATGAAAAAACTTCTAGTGTGACAGAATTGTTCTTTATTTTGAAGGTGACAGTAGCTATCTGATGGGGTACAATCTCAAAATCTGTTCATTCGTATGGCTAAGATGGGTGAATTTTATCTCATGCAAATTATAACTCAATAAAACTTGGAAAAATCAATTTCTATAAATGAAATTAACTTTGAGAAAATTATCTTCCAATGATAAATGTCATATCCAAATTGGAACATAAATATCTGGAAACCCAACTGAGTTTAGGATGACAGTAATTCCGGCATCTAGGCATGGTATCAAAATGTCTGTCTATCCAGCAGCACACAGAAGGAAGCATTTTCTACAGGGCATTCTGGAGCACACTAGACACGCTGAGTGTCCACAGATGTATGTGCTCAGTAATGACAAGGGTGTATGTGATGACAATGGGAGTTCACTGAGGCAACTTCAGTTTACATGTTTTGCTAGTTGCCTTTGGTTTTAGCTAGATGAGGTCACATGAAATAAATAAGGACAAGGAAAGTATTTGTCATATTTATTATTACTTTCAGATTGATATTTATAAATAAGACTAAGAATAAATGGGCCAGCTAAGCTCTCTCATTCACCTTATTTCTGGAAAGATGGGGGAGGGAACGTATTCTCCTTAGCAAGTAACAAGGTTGGTTGCAATGGCCGCTTTCTGTGAAGTCTGAATCCAAAGGTCCCGAATAATTTATCATTCAGGATACAGCATGAATGTCTGGCGTTTTAAAGCTTCCACTGGGTTTTATTTTAATACTGATTCTTACAGAAGAAAGTTTATGGGAAGAAATTGCATAGCAGTTCAAGAAATGGTGCAAAAGATTTCTCCCGGGTATGAATAAAGACCTTTTTTAGCACAAAGTTTTGTTTATGTCTAGGAATTCTGCTTGTCAGACATCTTTTAGACTTTTAAAAAAGAGTCAGCTCTGCAAGAAATAGTTTACAAATAACTCTATCTGGAAGTTGGCAGCCCAAGACACCATTTTTCTAGAAGAGATGTAGTAAGAAGAGTTACAGGTACTCTTACGCGTCTCTTGAGTTCTGACAAAGTCTTGTCAGTCATTTTCCAAGCGCTTGATTAGCTTTGATTTTAGAAATGTTAATAACAATTTTCAATTAATATCTTTGGGAAAAAATCTATCACCAAACAACTGCTGGATATTCAAACTGTGTAAGATTTAGTTCATCCTTTTCACTTTCAAAACTACCTTGACAATCATTTAAGTATATTTAGCTACACAGAGATTGTGTTCTTTTTTTCCTTTTCTTTTATTTCAAGTTCTTTTATACATTCAATCATGTTATTTACTTGTAAAGTGAATATTCCAACATGTGTACATTTCTCACCAGTCCAGTTGATAATACTATAGTTATCTTCAACAGATAATACCCCATTTCTTTGTCCCACTAATGCTTTGCCTCTTTATTTTTCTCCTTAATGTCCTTCCTCAGAATCTACTCCTTCACCCACTCTGTTCCCACACTGTATCTAGTAATCACAACCATCTACTGTGTTTCTATATCCTTTAATCATTCAGTTTCAGTCATAGAGTGTGGACACTAGATATATATTAAGTGGGGACATACAATGTCTCTCCTTCATAGCCTGGTTTGCTTCGCTCAGCAGTAAATCTTCCATATTCATCCACTTTCTGTCAAAAGCTAGGGTGTTTTTTATGGCTGAGTAGTATTCCATAGCGTGTATATATATATATATTTTTTTTCTTTTTTTAAGATTTTTTTGCTCTAGGGCTCATGCACTCACTAGAGAGAGACAGAGACAGAGAAAGGGAGAAATCATGTCCCAGGGCAATGGCCACACTGCACTAAGTCCTTTTCCTTGCACTCTTCTCTTAGAATTTTGGGCATGCATGCAAATGCACCCAGCTTGATTTTCAAGCTTTCATGTCTGGAACTCAAACTGCAGTCGGCCATGTGGGAGTTCAGCACATTAACCACTATAATATCTACTGGTCTCAAGAATAACATATTTTTCATTCATCAACATTTGCAGGAAGTTTAAGACTCATTTAACAAGAATGAATTGTTCAGTCATCAGGATTTTTACATTATTTGGTTAATCATAATATGAAAAGTTCTCACCAGTTTTCTGGGGTCCTATTACCAAGAATTTTGGTAAGCGATCACACGTTTTTTCTTTAGACCAAATGTCTCTGTGGCGTTTATCATCACAGGGATTCTAAATGGGAGAAGAATATAGAGAAGTATTATTAGTTGTTGTATCTCATGTGTGCTTGCTTTTCCAATTTCTGTCCTTAAACAATATCCTAGGGAAAAATGGGATTAAATAAAAAGGACTCCCTTTTTTAGGTAAAATCCTGGAAGTGGCCTCTCAGAATATATTTTGAATAACTCCTTTATATCCTGAAGTTGAAGATCTGAGGCAATGGAGAAAGAAAAGTAGTTCCACTTTGGGTAAAAACTATCATAGTACTGAGAATTTAGTCTTTTTCTGCCACTGGCTGTTCTATGTCTTAATTTTTGCTCTCTCTCTCTTTAATAGTGAGCTTGCTTGGTAGATATGCTTCTTGGAAACCCAAAGGAAGATATACTCTTACTATTTAATATATAACTGAAGTATAAGATGTACTGATTTTTATTCTAAGTAACTTTGAACTTTCCTGCTATACTTCAAAGGGGTAGGGGCCCAGCTATAATTATATTACTCAAAGAGAAAGCAGATTCCTTTCAGTTGCCTTCAAAGGTCAATAAATGTAGATCTACAAATGCCACTTGGGGCTAGCAGGTGGTGTGGTGGTTGAGGTGCTGACTCCCACAGGGCTGACAGCAGGTGAGTCCCAGGCCTGGCAGCTTGTTTTCTCACTTTCCCTCTCTCTCTTACTGTGTGTCTTTCTCTAGTTGAATTAAAACAAATGAATAAACAAATAACTTTAAAAATGCAACTTTATAAGTTACAATTCTAAGAAGTATTAAGCTTTAGTAAAGGGGTAAAATGAGGATTAATTACTCCTTTAGGGATTATGGTTTTGGTTTAAAGTCCTCAAAACCAACCCACTCTGCAAGATGTATCTGTGTGTACGTTCACTTTAACTACAAGAGCCATATTCTATAGACAAGGGAGAAAAATTACAGGGTCCTATTATATATTCTGGAAATATCCAGAATGGGCAAACAGGGTCACTTCTTATTTCTCTTTAATTAATACTGTAGATATGTGAAGTTAAAGAAAACTGCTTATTTTTAGTAAGTAACCAATGTTAAGACTAAAGGGAGAGTATTCTCTTTGGCTGCTGTTCTGGAAAAAATTAGTTTTAAACTCATTGCATGGAATAAAAATGGTTTCAGTTTAAAAATAAAACATTAAATTAGCAGGAACATTGCACATCTTCCTACTGGCTAACATCTGGTGACATGTTGTGGTGGTCAAGATGAAAAGATGCCTGTTACAACAATTGAAGAGTCACGTGCAGTCATAATCTCCCAACCTCCTCCTTTAACCTGCTAAATGAAAAAGGCTTTGTCTGTTTTTGGAGATACCTGTTTGCTGACGAGGTAATTAGCTCCCATGTCAAAGATGGATAATTGAATATCGAGGTCTGAATTTACTACAGCTTCAGTCTGTGAAATATTCTCGATTGTTTTGTCATCAGCTCTGTGTGTAATTCTAATGATATTCAGAACAGTAAGAAAACAGTCTCTAGAACCAGATGTCCTAGGACTGACCCTCCCTATGCCACACACTAGCACTGTGGCCTTGCTTAATTGACTTGGCCTTTCTTTTCTTTTCTTTTTCTTTCTTTTTTTTTTTTTTTTTTTTTTTTTTTTTGGTGT